GGGCAGTTGAACTGAGATTCGAAATGTTCAGTCCATTGATCAAGACGAAGTTGCTGGTGGTGAACCAGTGTGACATCGGATGCCTTAATTGCCTCATTTACGCTTGTTTTCCTGGGGCAAAGATTGACCATTATCAATAGCTGCAGCTTTCTCTATCTCTCTACACTTTCCCACCCACCACTTCTTGCAGTCATTCCTGACTCTTGAGATGGCGTTTAAGGAATTTGCACGCTGTCATATGTGGTATCAGGAGGAAGGGTTACGTGGGCGTCCAGCAGGGCAGCCGAGCTGATCATTGGGCTCACCCCGTCTGCTATTCATCATACAAATGTGTGTATTAAAAAAGAAGAGCAGAACAAATCGTAGTTATAGTGAACGAGTTAAAGTATCTGTTGCGGAAAACCACGTTTCACGATGACTCTCGATTTGTTGAGAACGGACCTGCATAATGGCGTGATGGATTTCACTGAAAAACACTTCCAGACTAGTGGGAGAATATACTTTTTTAGGTGAAAATTTGCAAAATACTATTCAAAAGCTTCTGCTCATCCGTCATCAGATAGGAGGGCAGTCGTCATGAACACAACAATAAGCTGCAGGGTTTACAGCCGTATAACAGTTAACCCTATAGATTCTCATTCAGTTCGTATAACCATTAACCTGTGCGCCGGATTAATTTGTTGTGGTTCGAATTTCTAATTGGTCGAGTAATGAAGAAAGGAGTACAAGGGAAACGAAAGGCTGATAGCAGTACCATGATAACGAAAGGCGGTGTACCGGATGTGCGAAGATAATTGGTAGGTACAAGAACGCCACTGTTTACGACATGATCGAATCGGACGTGTGTAACCATTGATGGAGCCCTTGAATGATTTGTATTTGTATAACTTGTGCAAGCATATATGCTTACATTTCAGTTAAAAATGTACACTGTTCGTCACGCAGAGTGAAATAATAATAATAAAAACAAAAGATAAAGAATGTCGGTGATATTGGTATCATGTACAAAACTTTTGACGTAGGTCATTTGAGACCTGTTCCTTTTTGGTAAGTAGTCGGGGAATTTTTACTAATGTTAATCCGTGAGGGTAGCTGTCGAAATGAGGAGCGTGTGGACGGATGGGAACGACAAGACAATAGATCAGGGTGTAGTAGATCAAGAGGATTATCTAGAATCTTTTGAGCAAATTTAAAACAAGAGTTGATGTGACCATCTATGAGTTCCGTGATTAATAAATCGATCGGGATTAATGATGCACGACTGATTACCACCAAACCACGGCGAATTGGTTTGAAGTCTTGTTTTAAAAGACCGGGAAACACTACAGGGGAGCAATAAAATAGAATGAGTAAAACGCATTGAACGAAAGATAACAGGACTGACTGTGGGGTTCGGAATTACAAGAGTTTGCGTAACTGAAAAGATAGGAGTCTCAGTTTTCCCATACAATTGTAGATATGTGTAGACCAACGAAGGTTACTGCCGATGGTGACACCCAGGCACTTGACTGAGGTCATTCTGAATACAGGTTTACCGTTGAGGGTACCAGAGTCCGTTGTTAATGAGGAGCGGGAAAGACTAAAAATACACTCTACACACTTAGATATGTTAAGACTGAGACCGGATTGGTCAGAAAACTGTTGGATGTGGGATAGGTTTTCAATAAAAGAATGAAATTCCGAAGGAGATGAAACTGTCTGACACAAAACAAAGTCATCAGTATACTTTTGGAAGTGCGCAGGGGACGGGACCGAAAGATCACCAATTAAGGCAGATATCGAGATAGAACAGCACCTTTAAGAATACCAGAATTATTAACAAGAGATTTTGATGTCCTCCTTTTTAATTTGTGGCCCTGGATCCTCAGTGTGATATGATCAGCAAGCCGTTTTGGAGTGCCAAAAGATTCAAGTTTGAAAAGAAGGGATGATCGGGAAACAGAATCAAACGCAGAAGAATAGTCAAGAAAAAAACAACGGACAGACTTGGTCGAATGGTTCACTGACTTGCTGATAAAATGCACTAGAGTAGATACGGTGTCCAATTTAGATCTGTTTGGTTTGTATGCAAACTGAAGGGTGTCGTGAGGAATCGTGGTGTCTGACTGCAACCGACTCGGGATGGCTTTTTCAGTTACCTTTAGAGCCACTGAGTTCAACGCGACAGGACGAAACCGTTTCGCAAGAACAGTTGAGGACGTGGATTTGGAGATCGGAATAATGGTCACTGGACGCCAAAAATAAGGAATCGACCGGGAAGATAGGGACTCGTTGACGATGGATGTCATCATATTGGTTAGGGAAGTAGCTCCAAATTTTAGAAGTACCGGAGGAAGAACATCAGGGTCTACAGCTGACGCATAACAGGATCGAAGAAGCTTAAAGGTTAAATCATTGTAAAAGGACACTGAACTGGATTCATTGCATAGAAATGAGGGAATCTGGCTCTCCTTTGACGAGTGGACAAAAGCGGCGTTGAGGCTGTTGACATTAGAATTTTTCTGTTTTGCCCACGGTTGAATATCGCCAACAGTTGCAATCGTGCATCTGTACAGTTTCAAAGCAATACGATTACGTTTTCTGTGTTTACTTTACTTTACTGCGGATGGCTCCTTGAAAAGGATAACCCGGCTCCACCATGATCATGACCGTAAAGTTACTTGGGAGTTTGGCAAGAGACGTCCCCAGTGTCACTCGGCGTTTTTATTTTATTTTGAAGGTGTACCTCTAGTCTTTGCGCAACCAAGTGCGAACTGCAAGGCAGCAAGAAGTAATCCTTCGCCTCGGAAGTGAGGGGGTCAATGACTTTAGTTTTAAAAGACCAGTCACATCGACCTTTGTCACGACACTGTCATTGGACTTATGCGGCTTTTAAACAGGAGCAAGGTGGCCAGCCTGAAACTCACCACACCCTGGTAGTGCCGCCGCTATTTGTTCGCGACTGCTTGTTTGTTGCGGTATACCACAACTTATTCACAGCTAACCTTCTTCGATGAAGGTACCCCTCATCCACAATCCGGGGACGCGCCCGGTAGCGTTCAGTATGTTTAAACTCTTTGGTTTACACCTCGCTCAAAAGTCGATGAGTTGGGTGACTGAAACACGCTAACCAAAACACGTGCACTACGAGGAAAAAGTTAATGGTTCCAGAAAACAAGAACAAGAGCAACAACTGAAACCCACCGATTGATTAGACTGGTCAATAGGGAACCAGCGGCGAAGTCAAACGTAAGTCGCATGACCGAGATACACTGGTCTAAATGTCATAACCTCATTATGGTCATAGTGTGGCCTCTGAACTACTACTTTATGCCTCAGCAAAAAACGTACATCGAGGAAGCCTATCCGATCATTTCTGTAGAACCATGGTTCGGTTAGAAATCGAACGTGGCGATTGCGACCACTGGGGTTACTGAAAATTTATCAGGTGCGTTTATCGCAAGCAATAAAAAGTTAATTGAATATGGTTTAAAAAAGAGTATATGCAAATTATCAAAGTAAGTTCATCTCATAGTTCCGGGGGAACTAAAAAAAAAAACACTTACGGCAAGTAACTGTTCCAATCGTAAAACTAAGGCGTGTTTGCGATCCATTATGCTTTTTACGCGTGCGTTTCCTGGCGGCAACTGTCGATGGCAGTTTTGTGCATAACTCGTTGAAGGGAGTGGAGATGAGGGTGACGGGGATTTGGGGCGCTCAGCGGTATCTACCGGATCCGGTGACGTCAGTACAATTATGTCTGAATCGTTGTCATCAATCTTATTCGAGGAGTCCAAATCAAGAGTGACCGGTTCTGAAGTTTGTGATCTGACTGTTTCATCTGTATGTACATGATTCTCGTTTGTGAACACTGCAACAAAAAAATAATAATAAAATTATAGGTATTAAAATGAGATGAGGAAGAATGTAATTTGGGACTAAGGAAACAAACTTGATGGGTCAACTAGTTACGTTAGAGTTATGGACAATATGTAATCTATTTATCTAATAAGAGCGAAAATCGAGTCTAGTGCTCCCACGAGTAAATGGTTGACTGGATGAACTGAGGATTGTGCGTGAAGGTGAAGTCTGAAGGATAGTCAGTCATATCAATCAGAATCAAATAGAATATGTAAACCAATTTTAGATACAGATTATACGAACCGGGTGGGAATACCGCATGCATTGTTTAATCACTGATAATGCAAAAGCTCTATTTCAGTTCAATCACGTTTCAAGGGCTGCCATTTCACAACCAATTAGCTCATGTAGTTAAAACATCATATGATAAATACACTATGATACAGACCAGATGGTTAAGAAATGAACGGGAAAACCTCCCGTGATCGAATTTAGATTTATGCGTTTTCAGCAGGTTTGGTCAAACTCAATTCAGTGGTTTGAGGCGTGGCAAATGCTCTTCCAACCTAAAACCTAAGCGACTGAATGTATTTCCAAGGGGCTAAGGAGCAACGCATTACCGATCCGCTGGCGATCGGATCCAGAAACGCAATCACCGAACGCTAACACCAGCAGATGTCAAACTGATTTTAGCGTGGTTGGAGCCAATACAAAATGACAGTGCACAAGAATATGGAGATAGAAGAACCCAAGGCGATGGATGGCAAAAACCCTCAAGGGGATATGAAAACTGCGCGAGGAAAGATTTAACGCTTTGAGGCGATTATGAATGAGAGTGTGGTAGTGAAAACCAACGCAGGACCACTGAAAAATGGATTGGTTTTGGTTGAAAAAGGCAAGAACCAGTAACTCTTTATCTCGACTGATAACTACACAAATTATTCCACTACATTACTTCAGTTTGAACTCTCGAGTCATTTGTAACAGGACACAGTTTGAGCGCCAGACGCCAAATAACGGTTCATCTTTTGCAAGAGCCCTCAAGAAACTGAAACTACAGCGGGAAATGAGAGAAGGGAGTGTGGCGTGCGAAGACGTTGTGACAGGTCATCTGGGTTGATGAGGTCAGGTCCACCTTGAGACCGCATGAGAGAACAATTCACCTATGACAATCACGTGATGCATGAATAGATGATGACCAGGAGACTGGCTCACATAGGTTCCGTTAGGCTCCCTGGCTGGGGACCCCGAGATTATGGTCACCGATGGTTACAGGCACTGTGCGATATGGCTGGGTGTCGCAAACAATGGCTCTTATTACTCTTACACCTTGTCTATCTAAATGCGTTATCTCCCGCTTGAATCTGCTGTCAACATTCTAATTCTGCCGCTATATCCAAATGAGCAACCATAACCGGCGCACGGAAGTGCATGGTTAATGAACTGAACTGGATTGAGATGACGGTGCGCCCTATTCCGGTGGAAGAACGACGGAGGTTCCATTCCAATTTGAGGGGCAATTTGGATGAACAGAAGGAGTGAACTTGTGATTCTGAATGTGCATGTTATGTGTGCTGCGTCAGATGGACAACACGAGAAGAGAGATTCCCCAGTATGACAACGTCAGGCCACATTACTACCAGATGATTCAGGAGTACAAACAATGTCGAGGAGTTTTCTCTTTTTATCAGTCAACCTACTAGCTGAATCCCAATCGGATCGAAAACATTGGGAACTTCGCGGGCAGAAGAATGAAAGAAAAAAATAATCTAGACCTAAGGAGTAGGAAAGAGGCTTTCCAGAACGAGAAGAAGTGCCACAAGAGCATACCTGTGGAAGATTAGCAGCGTTATTTAACGGACAGGTGATAGTATACATTACCAACCAATACACGGCTTATTATTCTGAACGGATATGGCCGAAATCGGGAGGTTCCAACTAAGCATGAAATTCTGATGATTACGACGTAGAATTTTATGTCTCACCGGCGGGCAAGAAATGCAAGGGTAAGTTTCAGTTCAGTTCAGTTTATGCAACCATTAACCGTGCACTTTCGTGCGCCTGTTTTGGTTGCTGTCTTCTGGCCGTCCAATAAGATAAAAAAGCATAATGAAGATCGGAATGTTGAGAGCAGGGTCAAAGTAAAAATAGGGAATTCATATAGACTGGGGTTGCAAGCACATTGAGTTGAAGCACAGGCGTCAATGTTTGCGACACTCAGCCACATCACTTAGTGTCTCTAACTACCGGGTAACATGATCTCTGGCTCCCCAGCCAGGGAGCCTAACACAGCCTATGTGACCCAATGTCCGGGCTAGGGTTTTCATACCCTCATGCCTAGTCCGAGTTGGAACGCCCTTGACCTTTGTCCATCCGTTGCCTGCCTCGGTAGATTCGCGCGCCGTGGCAACCTATCTAGTGATATGTGTAACACATATCTCAACCAGCGTAATCCATGGAGGTAAACAACTTGTCTCAGTGGCGATTACCTAAAACTGTGCGCCTAACCTCTACATTGCTTGTCCTGTTTCCCCACCGGACTCGTGCAACGCGGTGTAGAAAGCGGTGTTCGAACACCGACAACCCATCTTTATCTTGTCCTAGTAATGGTCAAGTCTCTGCAACATAGAGTAGGACTGACCTAACTATCACAGCATATATTCGACCCTTGGCAGACAACCGGATGTCGAGACGGCGCCGCAGTCTCAAATTGGCAAACGCAAACCGAGTCTCATGTATGAGAGTCAACACTTCATCCGTGACACGTCCGCTGAGTTGGATGATAGCTTCCCAAATAACAACATGTCTACTACCTCTACTACATATGCAGGAGCAAATGCTCACAAATCTCAGAAGAGACCCAGTAAAAGCTTCAATAAATTTTCTCATTTCTCTTTCACGATACAACCGTCCCAGCCTCCACCATTGCAAACAATGAACAAGCCTGGTGGGGGAACCGAACGAGCAATGCAGAGGTTAAGCGTAGTCTTAGGCAATCGCGATCACCCACAGGAACAAGTGGTCGACCTCCATAGTTCAAGCTGGTTAGGACATGCATTGCGCATGTCACCAAATAGATGACCACAGAGTCGATGTTTGCTGAGGCAGGCAGCGGATGGACAAAGGTCAAGGACAGTCCAACTCGGATCAGGTTTGAGGGTATGCAAACCCTAACCAGGAGGTTGGGTCACAGATCCCATTAGGCTCTCTGGCTGGGGAACAGGAGATCACGGTAACAGGTGGCTAGAGACGCTGAGTGTCGTAAGCAACGGTTTTCGTGCATCTTCTCAAACCTTGGTTCACTGAAATACTCCGTTTTCTCTTCCACTCTACTTTCAACCTTCCTTGCTTTTCTACTGATCATCCCAACGGGCAGCCAAAGACAGCAACCGAAACCGGTGCACGAAAGTGCGTGGTTATCAGTTGTAAAAAATGAAACTGAAAAACGTCAAAGCTAGTGATGTTTACGCAGTACGTACCAGTTTGCATCCTCATGACGGAGTAACAAGAAGATGAAGTAGTATGACTAGCACAGTGTGTATGATTTAGTTTTATAGTCACCTTTTCAAATAGTTTTTCTTAATGAGAAATGAAATTTTACATACTTGATCTCTGCGCCATTTGCCAACCCGAAACGCCGTAATATGGTCATGGCTGAGTGTGCTTATAGAAGGATTTAACCGACCCGGATTTATTTTGAAATGCCTTCTGATGACCGGCTTTAGAAACCTCATTCAGTAAAATTCTATTTGTTGCCTTCCCGTGGGGTATTTTCACGAAAGTGAGGAGGTAAATAGTTCATTTCTGGGGCTAAAACGGCGCATCTAGGGAAGCATAAGAAAATTCTACTAGATTTGTGGTCACAGGAATGGGCTGAAGCAGTGAAGTGCATCAAATACCCTGGACATAGGTGCCTCGTTCGAAGAGCGTATGATCCGAACAACGGAAAGTCAGTCCCCAATAGATTTTTTTCAATTACACACCTAAGTTTGATGAACAGCAGACGGGGTAGACCCCATAGTCACGAGGACCTGCTGTTCAGTGATGGAAACCGGCAGCCTAAGCCCCGGGAGTTGGAGTGGCGAACCACATAAGGCCCCGATAGGTTAGGCGCGAACCGAACGACTGCAGAGTTGCCTACCACCAAAGTCGGGTGGCAGTGGCGGGGCTCGAACCTCGAACCATAGGGTCCAAAGCACGCCGGTTACAGCGACTCAACCACTGCGCCACCACCACCCCAATGTTTGTGGACCAGAAGCACTGCCTCACTACCCAATGGATTTGACTTTTCTGCCAAAGGTTCGAGGAGACGAACCTACAAGTCCGTTATTTACTCTGGCATGGACCAGTGAGCGGTAGAAACTGCAACACGGACAATATGAAAACAAACACTGCGCTACAGTGTGTATAACTTCTCGCTTTTTTTGTAGCGTTGGCACTTGGCCTGTTTCAGCTGGGTGAGTGACAACAACAAGAATTATGATAAAGCTTTGTTCTCTTCTGTTCTAGAGCAGCAGTTGCATATTGAAGCGAAGAAGGCGATCGGTAGACATGCCTAACACGTGCCTTGACCAGTGAAACTGAACTAGGTGAACTATTTGAATAGCCCCACAGAACACACTGTGAACAACACAGCGCGGCGAACAAGCTCAATTTTTCGTTATCTATAATCATGTCAATAAAAAAACATGAAATATGATTAACACTATGGGACTAGATACACGGATCGCAAGACCAAGCGCTTCTAAGAATGGGTTCGTGAACGAGTTGCTTGAAAACGGGAACAATTAAGGCTGTAAGAGGCATGTGTTAAAATCACGTTGAATCAAAGAGTTCAGTGGATGTGGGAAAAGCGTTTCGATCCGTTTAAAAAGTTCACCGTAGGTAATCAAGAGCAATGAAGCATCATATCGTAGCCAAGACCAAAGTTGTAAGTAATTGGATTTGCAATCTCGCCTTCCAAGGTATCTATAAATTTGTGTAATTACTTAACCTCCCCTGGCCCAGTTCATCTTTCTCAATACGTGCACTTACTTGAGCGTTTTAAGCTGATCAACTTCACACACACACACACACACACACACACACACACACACACTTGAAGCTAGATCTGAACTATAATTTGTCATCCCGATCTTTTGGTCGAAAAACTCCCGAACATGCAATCCTGTGTTGCTAACCGCCCACCGCATGTTGGATTAAGTGACGTTTTAACCAATAATAATAATAATAGTTGTTAGCACACAACTAATTAGGTGGGAAAAGCAACCAGTCACAGAGAAGTTTTAACCATTATAAGACAACTCGCACGTGAATAAGTCTGAAAAAAGATAATCGAACGAGAATTACGTATAAATGATAGACCATGGTAAACTCACTCTGATCAAGGGGCGACTGGTCTTTGTGAACAACAAGCTCTTCGGATTCGTTGGCTATTTTATGGTTTGCGCTCTTCGCTTCGCGTTTAAAAAGCAATTTTAAATCGTTCAAAATGGTATATAGACGATGGGGTTGTTTTGTAATGCGTTCTATACAAGTTCGAAGCCCTGAAGAGCACCGTTCCGAAGAGCGAAACTCTTTACAAGTGGCATTGAACTTTCGTTTGAGCATTTTGAGGACTTCATCATCACCAGGTCGGAGAAATTTCTGAAGTTCATCCTCAAACTGAAGAAAATGATGAAAGTTCAGCAGAATCAGCTTTGCACACAGAGTAAAGTACTAACAGTCTGATCAATCAGGATTAGCAAGAATATGTTAGCGATGGATGAAGTGAAGAAGACCATGGTAAATAGGATGAGTATGAAATATGAAAAATATTACCGAATGCACCCCAAAAAGAAAAAACTTGTGGAAATTGTGAACTCATCACAATGTGAATTGGACGAACTAGTTAGTATATTACAGCCCAATCTAGACTGGTACTTCCGTTTGCATTATAATCAGATTATTCTGCATGTATCTTTTTTTAATATTTTTAATTTTTACTTCCTTTTATTGAATACACAATGATACAATTTTCAGGAAGGGGAAGCGGCCAATCAAAAGGTTGCCATGGGGAAAGTCAGGCGATGGTGATGGGGTTCGAACACAAGTCCCCCGATGTGGTAATTTGGTGACGTTACCACCAATCTACGGTGATTAACAAACAGAGGAAACCACGTGGAGGTCAACAGATGACGTAGAGACGAGGCATGAAGAAATGCACATAGACATTAGGTAGAGTAGGTGTCTCTCGCCTTCCAGGTTGGGGTCGATGGTAGAGGGTGGAAAACATTACAAGCGCTCTTGTTGAACACGGACGGACCTTCAAAATTCATCCATTGGCTTGTTTTTACATTTATTTGACTAAAACGTGACATGGAAATACAAAATAGACAAGTATGCCACAACATACGGAGGGAGAAACGTGGAGGTTTGAATACAAATGAAGTCTTGCAATAGGTGCGCCCTTAACGCCGGTTTTGAGTCATCTCCACTAGCATCTAGAGCCATAAATGTTCGCCACCCCTGGGGCCCGAACCCGAGAGCCTAGAACGTCGTACAACTATCAGTTTTGAGGTTAACGCCTTCACCTCCCGATCCCAGTTAATTTGTTGTCGCTTCCAGGGAGTGATGGCTTGCGCAAACACGATCGGATAGTCGTTGGACCATCAAAAAGAATGCACCTTAATGGATTGTGTGCTTTTATGACCGAACGATCTACGGAAGGGATTTCAAAAAGATTTTATCTTGAGTGAATGTTCAGAGGATAGAAGACAGACAATTAACAGTCTCCTGGACCCCAGTTTAGAAGTGTGACTCGAATCAGCATCTCTGTGGGTAAAAGATGATGGAGGATTTACGGAGTTTAATCAATATTATTGGTTCCAATCTCTCTTTGCACGTGTTGGGCAAGACTGGAAGAAGCGCCGCGGCGGTCAGACCATGGCCTGGTGTAGCCTCGGTTGGTGCAGCTTGCCTTCCAGGCTGGGCTCAAAGAATGAGGAGTGTCGATGGTTAGAGACGCCGAGACACATGGCTCAGAATAGACGTCAGTGGTGCGAATGCTGTGCGGTTTGTTTGTCAAATACCCGTTCTCCATAAAAGATTAAAAGAACATCAAGAGGTTGACGATGAAACTAAAAAACTACTCATTCATTTGCTTTCCTTGTTCTGTTTTCCCCCATTTTCATTTCATCACTCTGTACCCCTTCTTACCATTATTACCATTGATTTGCGTTGGCACTATGCTTGTCTTCAAGCCGATGATATATACATATATACACATTATAATTTATTCATCTTAGTATCCATGGCTAGGTCCCCCGATCTGAGCGTTTCGATGCCGATAAAACTCGTAAGAAGCTGGTGAACCCCGGACTCATTGGCACCGTACGTATATTTATTTGAATCAACCGACCATCTAGAAACCAACAGGTTAAAAAATCTCATTAACTATCTCGCTCCTTCAGTCTTTCGCCACGTGAAACATTACCCTGACTATGAGGCCGCCTAATCAATTTTCCAGTTTACATTTTTTTAATGGAAAACGAGGTTTTTGCCTGACATTTATTGATTACATGCAAACGAATAGTCAGAGAAACTACGGATCACCTTTTGCACAAATTGAGATCACTCGTTGGAGATTATAACTACCAAGCTGCCATTCCCGGAAACATCGTGATGAAGCTTTACGAGATTCTTTCATCTGTAGATTAAGGTCCAGTTCGATTAGACAGTCTGCTTACGCACAAAAACGCTTGGACCTGAAATCAGCGGTTAGTATGACCAAGTCTTTGAAAAGGGCTCAGAAGCATTCTGGTCTCACATACATCAGCTGACCTCCGTCCTTGTGCCGCTATTTATGTGACCGCATCTTCGTCTCAGAAAATTTGTGAATCAGGTGCTACGGCGGCACAACCTATTGTGGTTACACTCTCCATCCTTCAAGTGCCGTGCGAGGAACGCCATTTGTAGTCTCTGCGGCAAAAAGGATCACTGTCAAACTGTGAGCAAATCTAGTAATACTGCTAAGCAGATGACCACACTAATTGGTTTCTGTCAATCGTCAAGGCTCTCAGCAGTAACTAAAAATTTATCACGCGCCGTTACCACAGCACGGAATTCAGAGAACTCATCGACCCAGGAAGGTCAGTCAGTTTTCCAGTTTCTACAACCACTAACCATGCACTATCGTGCGCCGGTTTTGGTTGCTGTCTTTTGGCTGCTCGTTTGGATGAACATGAGGAAGACAGGAAAGGTTGAAAGTAGCATCGAAGAGAAAATTTAGGATTTCATTTCACTAATTTTGCAGAGAAATCGACAAGATGCACGAACGCCACTGTTTACGACAC